AATGTCGTCTATATTTTCAACCGTTTTCTTGAGACTACACTCCGAGGGTAAGGGATGTCCCGATCCCTGTCTCCACGTCTCGACATATAAACTAGTGTTGAGTACCGATGCCATGATCTGGGAGTACAGGTCCACTTGATCGCCCGGTGCTTTGCTAAAACTGGTGAAGTTTACACCACCGGCGCTGGTGATGGTCTGGACATTCATATCGCCGGATATCCAGTCCTTATCGCTTAAGGCAGCGATTTTTGATGATTTACTTTTTAGGTGGGTGCTCACACGCATGGTGTACACATTTGGATGCATGTACAGTAATTGCTCAAGGATATTATCGATTTCAGTGAGTTTATAGGTAATACACAGAGCTGTCTGTCCGTAGGTCTCACCAGACTCTGGGTATACATACTTATGGCCCGACTATTAGGTTATGAAACAAAAAAGTTTTTCAAAAATTTATGTTAAACTCAAGGGATGTATACCTCTTCGGCGGCAAACATCGGGACACTATGTATGAGCCAAAAGCCATGGCTATCATCAGCGGCTATGACTCCCTTGGCGTGAGCGCCGGTAGATTTTATCGTGTCGTTAGGCCAGTGGTCGTTGTAATTGATATAACTGATGCTCGGGTCAACCTTTTTGGCATATAGTGGGTGTAATGTCTGTCCAAATATTGATGTCTCGTCACTGATGTCCAGATCAGACAGGGTCCATCCCTTGTCGGACATACTAGTCATGTATGCATAGCGTAGGCCTGTGTTCAGAGGGGGCTCGGCGTCGGAAACTTTGGGAAGTTTGTAGACTACATACCAGTCCACAGCATTTCCCTTTTCATCCACACATTGCAATTGACAGCTAATTATAGCGATTATATTAAATTTACATAAAATGCTAAATGTGTTCATGGTTAAAATATATAATAAAAGTTGTATTAAACTCTGAAAGTTATAAATGAATTATAATTAATATATGAAAGTCTGTAATCATTTATATTGTAAATGTGTATCTCGTTTAACACATGTATTTCTCGCAGTGTTTCCCGTATTAATCATTTTTACGCTGAAATCATCAGTATTTACAGTATTTTACAGGGAATCCCAATACTGAACATAAGTTTAATTGTATTATTTGTTGATTAAAACAATCATATATAATATTTATGTCCATCCGGATTGGGATTTACTGGACAGGTATGCGTTCCGCAAACCTGTGTCCAAAGAGGGTCCGGAGTCGGATACTTTGGGTAGTTTGTAAACTACATACCAGTCCACAGGCTTTCCTTTTTCGTCCCTACATTGTAATTGACACTGATGTATAGTATTGTCATTCACTGTATAACTATTATATTAAATATACATAATATTGAAAAAGTTTTCATTTGTTAAAACAAATTATAGTTTAAAAACTTATTAATGTTATTTATTGCGGTAAAGATTAAATTATTAAAAGTCATCAAAACTATTTTAGAAATATATATATATCTTATATTGACACATGTATTGTATTATAGATTTCTCATATATAATCATTCGTATGTTTCAATAATCTATTTATCAATTCATTGAATTATTATTTTGTCGATTAATACAATAATAATTGTGTAATAATTATGATTTTTATATGTTATAAGGGTAGGATTTATTTGAGCATAAATAATTATGTTTTTTGTTAGTTAATTATGGTAACACCTACTTTACAGTTATTTATCGTATACATTTATGGTAGATTTGTTAGGTTTATATAAAACTGATTAATTTGTGTTAAAATAGTGGTTTAATTTTGAATTGACTAAATATTAATTATCAATTCAATTGCACTGTAATACATTTAAAAAATTGATTAACTTATTAAGTACACCATAATTATTATAAATATAAGGGTATGTATTATGGGAATAAAAGTATGTATTTTTGACACACCTTTACATTCAGTTAAAAAGTTTAATTTAAGTTTAAAAGCACTCAACAAATGTTACCAAAAAAAATCACTAAATCTTATCACAAAATAGTTTTATTTAACAGAAAAAAGTAAAATAATTAACAAATAATCAAAATAATAATCAACACTTGAATTAGTGCTCAAAAGTAGGCAATACTTTGTCGCACTTCTCCACATCCATCACCCAATCATTCATATGTTTCCATACATTAGGGCTTTGGAAACATGTCTGTCCGCCACCCCTCTTAAACTGGGACTGCATTCGGTTCATATCGCCGAAGCACACGAAGGGAACGGTAGCCGTCTTACTAATAGCCCATTTGCTATGATCCTTAAGATAGTCGAACTGTCCCTTCAGTTTGGAGTTCATAAACGATACGCTAATGTCGTCTATATTTTCAACTGTTTTCTTGAGGTCGCACTCCGAGGGTAACGGAGTTCCCGCCCCTTGTCGCCAACTTTCCACATATAGGTTGGTCTTGA